GTGTTCAGCTTTGGGCCCCTCACTACAAGAAGGACGTTGAGGGGCTGGAGCGTGTCCAGAGAAGGGCAACAACACTGGTGAGGGGTCTGGAGAACAAGTCTTACGAGGAGCAGCTCAGAGAACTGGGGTTGTTCACTCTGCAGAAGAGGAGGCTGAGGGGGGACCTTACTGCTCTCTACAACTACCTGAAGGGAGGCTGTAGTGAGGTGGGTGTTGGTGTCTTCTCCCAAGTAACCAGCGATAGGAGGAGAGGCAATGGCCTCAAGTTGCATCAGGGGAGGTTTAGATTGGATATTAGGAAAAATTTCTTTACTGAAAGAGTGGTCAGGCATTGGAACAGGCTGCCCAGGGCAGTGGTGGAGTCCCCGTCCCTGGAGGGGTTCAAAAACGTGTAGATGTGGCACTTTGGGACATGGTTTAGCAGGCATGGTGGTGTTGGGGTGACAGCTGGACCTGATGATCTGAGAGGTCTTTTCCAACCCATGATTCTATGATTTTGCTGTGGGAAACATTTCAGGTCAAGCTTTCGGCAACAGGAGGATGTCTGGCAGACTCAGTGAGGAAATATCCTACAAGCTTTAAGACAAATCTAGTGAAGGTAATCTAGCCTATACACTGGTAATTTCTGAAAGTCCTTCAGTTTCAATTTGGATATTTGTTCCATAAAAAGGATTCACTCAAGCCCGTGCTAAGCCATGAAAAGAACAAAAACATCATAAGCAAAAGGATCCACACAGGAAATATTCTGATCAGGAAGAGAGAGGAAAGGGAAATCACATAATGCACATCTATAATCCCACAAGTTTGCCTCTGTCAGCCTCAAAACATCGGACTGGGAAACAAAGAGGGGATGACTGATGAAAAGATTCTGTTTCAAGAAAATAAAATTACATCCAGACTTAGCAGTCACTCTTTGATCAAGCTCTCCTGCTGTACAGAAATGCTAACTATGACAAACTGCACTGCACAGGAGAAACAGAAACAGCTTATCACTAACGAGCTAAACCCTGTCCACATACATGTAGCTTATCCAGTGTAACTTACACCAGCTTCAGTACCAGGGGCTAAAGCAAATATTACTTCAGGCACGCTTGTAACACAGAACATCAGCACGAGGTTGAAAGAGTCACAAGTCTAAAACAGAATCTTACTTCTGTCCCCCTTTGAACAATGGGCTGTTACAGAGGAGGCACTGCGCAGATGGAGACTCATAGTAGTTTGACCAGGAGGTCTGCTCTATGGTGACTGTCTCCTCACTCACGTTGGACAGGATGAGCCGCGAACTGTTGAGTTCATGGATGAGCGTGAAAACCTCAGCCAGCTCCGATTCGTTCTCCGGGATCTGCATTACCTTGCGCAGCAACTGCAGGGTGGATTGACGCTGGATCTCTTTCTGGAACGGGGTGAGGGGCTCGCTGGTGTTCAGCACATCAGACTGACCTGGACTGACCTCCTAGAAAGTGAATCAAACACTCACATTTGCAACTATGAAAGCATGGGGATGAAATATTAAGAAGCCCAAAGAAGTCACAAAAGGTAGCAGAAACACAGTAAACTTTGTGCCCAGTAGACTTAACTTCTATTCTACTGCTCAATCACTGACCCCAGACAGCAGCTTCAAGTCTAAGTCACTTCACCAAAAATACTGTATTACAGGCCAGCCTTTCAGGAACTCCTGTAATACTGCTAGACCATCACAGATTTGCCACTGAACTGCAGTGTTAGTGCAGAGATGGAGGATCAAGAGGGACAGCCACCAACAGGTATATAAACACTTTGACAATCCTGGCAATCGTCACTGTCCTTCTCCGTATCAAGCACATTCTCCTGTATAACACGCTCAGCCAGCCACGGCAGTCTGCACACCTCTCCAGGAGCTAGAGGAGACACGCACTAAATGAGAACTGGGGGCTGTGATGTACGGAATGCACTCATCAATTACAACTGATCAGCTGCAGTCCTTAGACACACACCCCCCAACACACATACACTACGAAGACAAAATGCACGAGCACAGGAGAATGAAACTCTAGGTCGCTCAGAACAGCGAGAACACAAACAGGTTAATCTGTTTAATTGCTTAAATTATTATGTCAGCATTTCAACCTGCCTAGTTGAAATAAGCAATGAGATAAATGACCAGATCAAAAGTGCAGAGACGCCAATGAACTGTGTGAGAGCAATGTCAAACATATCTAGAACCAGAAAATAAGAAAAAACTAAATGAGGAAGAGACACGCCACATGCCTCTCAAAACACAAGCTGAGCTAAGCGCACTGCTGTTCCCTACATAGCTGCTTATGTACGAGTTTCACACAGGCCACTTCAGTTTGTTTTTTTTAAAAAAACACACCACACAAAGTTATGTTCTTCAAAATAAAAAAGGCAAGTGGAAGAGTCCTATTACCACACAGACTAAAATGTAATCTGTCTACATGCTGAGTGAGTATTTCAGCTAAGAACAGGACAGCTCCTTTATTTTTTGTTCAAAAAGAAAACAATTCTGTATGAGAAAAGCTAACCTTTGAAACTTCAAATGCAAAAAAATTCCAAACAAACAAAACCCAGAATTCATCATTTACATCACTGTGAACAGCAGAGAACTGAAAAATATCTTTTTACAACAGAAAAAAATACTATGGCCAGAAATAAATTCAGGCTGGAAGTAAAGTTGCACTACAAACCCCTAAAAATAGGAAGCTCTAATACAAGATGTACCAACTCAACTGATATTAGCCACAAAGTGGCCATAAAGCAGAGCATAACTGGGACTTTCTTGATGAAGTCCGAAGCTCAACAAAGCTGACACAACAAATGTGACTCCAGAGGTGACTTCCCCAGCACATACCGACACACCGTCAGCATTTTTAAGCCACAGAGACATCCAGTGGTAGTAGAACTGAGTGCACTCAGTCTCACACTCAGCCTGAAGCACCACTGTTGCAGGAGCTGAACAGTACAAGCACCATCACAAGTAATTTTAATAGGACATTATTCTGTTAGAAAAAATTACCATAATGAAAAAAAAATTATCACGTTCCCATGGGCGCGTGCAAACTAAGGAACTTCCCTACGCACCCCGCAACAGCCATTCGATAGGACAAACTATCCTGAACCTTACCAGCGATTTTGCTGTCTTCTCAGCTCTGTCTTTGGCAAGATTGTATCCGCAGCTTGGACAGACTCGGGGCTTGTGCCTGTTTGTATACATGTAACTACAAGAGGGGTTCTTGCATTTCCCTCTGCCACGTGACGTTGCCAATCCCAAATCCTGAACGACACAAAGAAGATATTTGCTGACCTTGAATTTTAGATGCCAACAAAATTTTCTAGAAAAGTCTGCTTGAATATCATATGCTTTTTTCACCACTTTGTAACACCCCATTTAAAGGTCAAATAGCAGGCCCTGTCACCTTGCACAGAATATTTTAACTGGCACTCAAACATTTCGGCACCAGTTCCAGAGACCACAAACACTCACACACTGAACTCATTCAGAAACCACTGACCCTCCCAGTTTCAACAGAACTGTTCTGTTTCAACAGAACTCAAGGAATGGATGGGGATGAAGAAAAATCCAGTTCTTAACAAGATCCCAAACACGACTGCAACAGAGTACAGTCACCCTGGCTTAGGTCAACAGATGTCACACAGATTGTCTCACATTAAATATGAGATACATTTCTGCAAGTCAGGAAAACAGAAGTCACAGAACGTTCTCATCCCAGAGATGACACTCCCCCAGGCATAAGTCAGACCATCTGAAAAATTCTCACCAAAGTTACGGTGCAGCTGTACTTGTAGGAAGGGAATATGTCTGGTTTGACCTCCACTACTTTAACCTGAGATGCCCTGCTGGTCAAAGCACTGTGGAGCTAAAGATTGAAAGCAGAGAAAACAACACCCATGAGATACCTACTACTGAATACATACATCCTACAAACAATAACTATTAGCATTTTTTAGCCCTGGGAAATCCATTAACATTCATTTCATATCAGAGGACTACAACACACTGCTTTGCATACTAAGGCATTTTGGCACACTCAGTCATATTTCATAGGTGAAAGACTCAGTACTTCGTACTGCCCATCAGATTATCAAAGCACTAGCAGATCCTCAGAATATCTTCTGGGAGTAGCTGGGAGGTTCTCAAAGCAGCCAACTGAAGCATTGTCCAACAGCATCTCTCAGTTCAGATCCTGTACTCAGCCATCTAGCATTCATGCTGCTTCCGAGTCATCTCATAAAAACTGTCAGTCACAGACCTCATCATCCTATGGCTGCTACATTTTTATGTTCTATTTCTCACCACTCGGGTCATATCCCTCATCTGGGGAAAAAAAAACACAGGAAAACAATACGCATCTGAAGAACAAACCATAAGTACCTTTCGCTCCTCGGCACTTGGTGGCGGCAGAACCGGCTGGCCCAACTGTTTCAACGTACTGGGCTTCAAGCCTGATGTTCTCACGGGGGAATGCTTGTCTTGAAGGAAGAAAAGGATGCAGCAGGTTAGATATGAAAAAACAGGTCCTGTTCCATTCTGATATCCCTGGTAAATGTCACCACAGTCATGTGAGACTTTTCCTCTGAACTTGAAATGACCCAAGCAGGAGTTTCATGGCCAATTTACCTGCACCCTCGGTTAGAGAAAAAGAATGTCTTTTCCTAGCGTAGGTTACTATCACCCTTCAGACATGTCTTATTATTTAATAGAGACCACTTCAACATGGTAAGGAAAGACAACCGCTCCCAAAGCATGCCAGAGATTACTGCTTTTACCGTTATTCACAAAGGCCTGTCTGTTGCTAGGCTGCTCAGCGCTGGCTTCTCTCCCCACACTGGCTGGTGCAGGCAGAATGGCTCGCATGGGTCTTGCTGCAGCCAGCAAGGAGGGCTTAGGTCTTGGTTTACTCTTTACTTCTTGTCCTTTGTGTCTAGCAGCTGGAGCATTAATTCTGAAAGAGCTAAGACTGGAAAAAAAAAATACGTGGTTTTCCCCTCTGCATCAATTTTCTTCTCTTCCCTGAACTGTGCCTTATTAGCACAGTAATCACAGCTATTGCAATAGAAAGGAGCGCTAAGGATACATCTGCCCTGTGACTATACTTTAGTTATCAATTTAAAAAAAAAAAGCTCTGATGGACAAATCAATCTCAAAGGAACAATCATAAACTGCCAGAAAACAGACAGTAAACAAACACAACAGGTCTTACAGGAAGCCCTACCAACAGCCTTCAATTGCTTGGATTAGTCCCACCAGCATAAAACAGACATCATATGCTCCCATAACATATGGAAAACAGACTCACCCCATTAGCTTTTTTGTAGAGGCATTTGGCCTTGGCACCTTCGAAGCACATGGCATCCCCAGCCCCATGCTATCTTTTTCTGCCTGCTCCACAGAAGAGTCTCCTTGCCGTTGGCTCTCTTGACCCAGGATCCCTCCAACAGCCCTCCCTCTGTCTTCAGCCAGCACGTTGTTTGCAAGGATGTGATCCTCAGAGATGACCACTTCCTCCCACTCCGTCTCCTGCATTTGCCCTCCGACAGGCATAGCATTCAGCAGCTGGCTGACAGCCTCAGAGCTTTCCAAGGCAGACTTGGAGGTACTCTCGCTAACAGCTGCTGCTTCTGTGAAACCTGACTGTTGACCTCTTTTAGCTGCCGGAGTTTTAAGAGAGGTGCCTGAATTTGGCTCAGTTTTGCTTTTTGGTTGCTTTTCCTGTAAACAAAGAGAGCGCCACATTTCAGAGCTTTACGCTTTCACAGATAAGCAAGTTCCCTTCACATATGCCAGGTTTTCCATGGCCTATTTAATGCTGGATCAAAACAGCAAAATCCTAAGTGTTTAAGCAGTGAACTGTACGGGAACAGAAAGACGTCATCTCCTGTGACAGCAAAGTCCCTGTTAGCATTTTATCTAGCCCCCTGGCCCTCCATGTATTATTTTAGACACTGTTTACTTTGAAGCATCAGTCTTTCTTCAACTCCCTCAAATATCACCATTAGAATCAACATCACAAACTCACTCACCACCCTCTGTAACAAGGACCCACCTCCTACACTCCCCTTTCATAGCTTCAGCTCTCTGCTGCTGTCTGTTCTTCCACATTATTGAGGAACCAAAGGGATAGAGAATTTGTACCTTTTGGATACATGGGTTCAGAAAAGCATGCATTTGAGTGACTCAAGAAACAGAGGATTACTCAGGAAGGTTTTTCGACTTTAAGAAAACTGTTACCTTCAAGACTCAGGCTACAGAAGCCATGTATAGGGGTCAACGAAGGCACGATGGAACAGTGAATCGGTAACATGCAAAAAGATATCAGAAATGGAATCAAGAGTCTCTGGCAAGATAAACATATTAATTCTCAGCTCTCTACAGAGTTGATACTCAGACTAGGTTTTAAAAACAGACATCTTCTAACCTAGTCCCTTTTCTTCCTAAGGAACAGGAAGGTATGCGTATATTTAGTTTCAGTTCTACTGATGTTATTACCCGTTAAAAAAACTGATGGTGCATGTTTTTCCCAAGGCATGACACCACAAAAACAAGTGGAACTGTTTACGCAAATATGTTCCCAGAAGAACAGAATAAAATTGAAAGCCAGAAAGAAAACTCCCTCTAAAACCTTTCCATTCTCATCAATGTAGGACTGAACAGGAGCAGGCACGCTGTATTCAGGCAGAAACACGTTTTTGCAGTTGGCCATCCATCTACTTCAGCAGGTTTACAGAACAAAATCTAAGAAGCCTTCGTCACTATTTGTATTCTACCACATAGGAACCCCAGTCATCAGCTCAGACACTACAGAGTTTGTAAGCTGCCTAAAAAAGTTCCTGTCCCCAAATGCTATAATGGCTCTAGACATAAAACAACGGAGTTTTAGAACAACTCCACACAAAGCCACTGACTGCCAATGCAAATTTTCACACTGAGAACATCCTTTAACTTGTGCCTGAGGAACCTTGTTTCAGACAGAAATTTAATGAATGCACATCTGTTCAGAGCTGACTAATTACCATGACATTGCCAAGGTTTACAGAGCAAGTGTTTTTTGCTGTATACAACCAGCAGAGATGCCAATAACTTAAGCAGAGTAGGTATCATGTGGTATCAAACAAACTTCACAAATCCACTAACACCTGGGAATTTCCTTCCAGCCAAAGGTCAGAACATCATGAATGAGACACATGACCATGAGTCAACAACACCCAGCAGCACTTCAGCTTCTACCAGATCAACTTTATTTGCTAGCTCCCAAAGGATCATACACCTACTATAGCTGAGAATTGTTCCTCTTTTCTGTCGAAAAAACGATGCTGAAAGACCGCAGAAAACCTCAATTCATAGAAGAACTTCAAATGTCGATACATTACCACAAAACAAATGGTTCACCAAATTCCTGAGCTTAGCTAGGGCTGTAGCAGGAAGAACAGGCAATGCCTTCCGGTCACAGGAACAATAAGGCAGGCAGAGGGCCAGAAGAATGCGTGTCCTCCCAGTGAGAGAGAGTTACCAAACGCAGCCCCATCTATTCTGACACCACTACAAGCGGCATCTTTACCCAAGGTGTGGTGATTTGGGGTCCGTCTCACCTTGGCAGAGTGTCCTCTGCAACAGTGACTTGCTCCAGCACAAGCACTGGAACATAAGTGCAGGGATCAGTTCTGGCATATCTGACCTCCTGTGCTAGATCTACAGGTCTAGAAATATCACAGACATCCACACACCCAGCACTTCTCGTATCAAAACCAGGGAAGGAAAGGCAGATTTACCTTTGGGATCCATTTCCCTCCCAGGAAGTTCCCACATGTCGGGCATTTTGGTGGCTTATGCCTGGTGACATAAGTGAAGGAACAGCCAGGATTAGTGCAATTGCCACGTCCCCTGCGAGTGTAGGTGGTTGTCTGAAATGAGAGATGTCAAGAATTCCTCTACAGAGCTGAAAAACACAAAGCTGTGCTCATCGCTCCCTTTTCCTCGTAAGCACTTTACGAACATTATTCGGCAAATCACCAGCCCTCCACTATAACTCCTTTTACTGACCAACCACCGCACACGGTTGGATGATGTGGGTCAGCACCGTAACTGCTCCGAGTCCAAATGCTCAGGCTGTACAACAGCCTTCGGTATTACCAGCATTTAGATCAAACTGCGGAGCAGAGGCGAGCAACGCATATAGCCTACAAGCTAACCTTGCATTTCCAGAGATGTAACCACTCTCTTATCAATAAGTCATAACAAGATGGTATAAAAGTGATTCAAACAGCAGTCCACAGTGAGGCAAAATGTGATTAACAGACTCCTGTCAACGGGATGATGAGACTTGAAGACAAGCGCTCACGATGCGCAGGCAGTTTTCACCAGTAATTTGTTGTTGTATGGAGTGGTCAAGCGCTCCCCGGTGCTTTACTGTAACATGCTGCAAACTACGCTGTTTATGAAGACAACTGAAGCAGAACCTGTCGTCTTTGCCAGGACAACAGCAACAACACACTGAGTTTTTGCCAGCGCAGCACTTCTCAACATGCTGAACTCAACTGTCCCGAGGGAGCTGTTGTGCCATAAGTCCCCAGCTAGGTACTTTCTTTTCTAGAAATGCAAGTGCTGCTGTCAAATAAATGAAATAATTCAAGCTACGCCCTTCTCCTCAGCAACAAAAACCTGAGGCATTTCCATTCTCCCTAAGACAGCTGGGGGAATATCACGCTATGCACCACTATAAACATCTGCAGTGTTCCACCAGCTGGAAGCACAGAGGGCCTGGAAAACATGATTTGATGCTAGCTTATACAACACTAGGAGCTGCAGTGCTGACTGTACAATGAAGTCCTACAATGGCTACAAAAATGTAGGTGGTTGGAGTGGACAGATTAGAGAAATAATACCATTCTTCCTCATGCAACAGGCCACGCAACCTTTGACATGGGTTCCCAAAACCTTAGGTCACTGCTCCTCTCCTGTCATGCGGCCAAAGCAACAGCCACCCAGGAGACTGGGGAGCTCACATTTTCCTGTCACAAGAGCAGATTCTTGCCCTTAAAGGGATGGACACCAGCATTTTATGAAAACAAATAAACACCAAGTAGAAGACGTAGATGGCTACACAGACCCTGAAAAGGGCAACACAGAAACTGTCGTTGCAATAGCATTATCCGCTCCATCTGCCTCCAAGAACTCCTTGAGGAAACAGGCAGCAGAAACAGCCTGCTACAAGACACTCTAAGCAGTCAGAGACCCACACTGGTGTACACGAGGCATAAAACCATGGGCAAGAAATGTGTCAACTGACATCATGACTCCAAATTGGATTATCTTTAAGAACTGGACGATCAGACCCTTCCTACTCTGACATCATTAAGACAAACCTACGGTAATACATCCACACCTTAAAATACCATACACAACTCTGAATTTCTTACCAATTTAATTGATGCTGGGTTCTCCACAACAGAATGAGCTGGCAAAGGTAACATAATAAACTGTGTAGCAGGTGTGGAGGAGTTACTCTCTTCAATATCCTAAAATGAAGCCAAAGGTAAAATACATATAGAAAACAACAGAGATGGTGATCTGTCCCACCCTCTCATGAGCACTATCCTTCAACAAATGTATTCAGGACTGATAAGACCAGAAAGCAGGGAAGAAGAACGATCACTTCAAAAGTAAACAGCCTTACCAGGTCTCCTCTGGAAACTACCAAACTCTCCACAGCTTGAAACTGAAAACAGCAGATCCATTTCTTTACAGAATAAGGTTTTCTATAACTGATCCCTAACACCTCAACTTAAAAACACTCACTTCTACCTCTCTGCAGCCAAGAAAATAGCTATCAGGAGCACAGAGGTAACACTTTTTCTTTCCCCAAAAATCTCGTAGTCCAACTGTGGAACCCACCCCAAGTACTGTTATAAGAAATAATTTTTAAAAATCTCCAGCAGTCATCTTAAGACACAAGTGATACCAGCATACGGCAGAGTCAATCTGCAAGCAGAGATGCTGTAATCACCGAGTTACGAAAGCCGCTGTTTCCCTCGCTGATAAGCGTCAGCACGCTGGGCGATACAGGATCTCCTGCAGCCACCAAGGGCCTCAAGTAAAATGCGTTAAACGGCACTCGGCCATTTCAGGTGAGACTCTGGCTGGAGCCCGAGTGTCACCAGAATAACTCACCCTCCCAGTCACCACGGTCACCACAGACACACCGTCTGAAACCTGAGGACGGGCCACAGCGCTGCTCCCGCTGGAGATGTCTGTGGAGCCGCTAACTAGAGTCTCTTCAATAACTACCCGAGCTGCCTGATACGGTTGCCCTTCTATCTCCAAAGAAGCCTCATCCAAGAGGATATCTCCAGCCACCTTCTCTGTCACGGGGCCAACATAGTGAGAGGGAACCTCTGATGCAACCACTTCTTCCACAGCATCTGGCTGAGCAAAGGAAGCCGTCTCTTCCGCTAGTCCTTCAATGGCAATGCACTGCTCAGACATGCCGACGTGGCTCGAGTCCACAGAAAGGATGTTTTGCACAGCATCACAGGAGACATTTGTGATATTCGTGGAAGCCGTTAACCCTTCGGATGCTGCCTGACCCTGTGTCACACACAGTTCCAGCGACTGCCTGCTCTTGTCTTCTTGAAGAGTGGTTTTGGGAATAATTATAAAATCTGAGCGAGGAAGAATCTTACGGAAACCTGGAATGTCTGGAACTACGGCAGTTCGAGTGGAGTTCTGTTGGCAAAAGCAGAGCATGGAATAAATGAACATGAGTAAAGGAACAGATTCAGTCCTCAGTCCTGCTATTTTAGTGCTTAAACTTCAAATGGTTTCTGAAGCAGTTTGCTGGGAATTTCCTCACATGACAGAGCCTGCAGAATCCCTCTCAGCCCTGGTTTTATCCTCCACTTTACCATCAATCACCCTCATGACATCACACAAAAATAACTACCATCCCCATCAGCGGGTATTGGACATATCCATCTTGAATTCCCAAATGCTATCCCTTGGCTGAAGAGAAGGCAAAAGCAAGAGGCAGCGGCCTCACACGCCGCTTCGTTATAGGCTGCTCTGAGCAGACGTACAAACTGGAATCTGCCACTAAGGGATCCTCCCATGCACGGTGCTGCGGAAGCAGTTAAGTGCCTCTCTCTTCACATGGCAAAGAACTGTCAGAAAGACGACTTACCGGGTCCAATCCCTCTTTCTCTAGCTTGGCTTTCTCCAAGTAATAGCTCTTCTCAGCCACGCTGAGCAACCTCCAGCTCTCACTGATCTTCTTGTTGATTTCGGACTGAGGGAGGTGGGGGAGCTCCTGCTGTACTTTCAAGTAAATATCATAATAGTAGAGGAGGTAAGCAGATCTGAAACACAATCAGAAACCAAAACCTCATTCTACATAAATTGCTTTGGAAAAAGAAATCCACAAGGTTTATGTTTGTCTCAAGGTCAACTGACAAGCACATTACATTCAATTCTACTTGTAAATGCTGTTTTTAACCAAATGAAAACAAAGATTCTGCGAAGAACCTCTGAAGTAAGGAGAAAGAGCCTAACACAAACTATTCTGGGGTACACAAACTTTAGATCAGGCAACAGTAGCACCCGTAAAGGCAAGTATGTCAGAGCAGGCCCAAAGCATCAAGCTAATGTTTTATACACGGTATTTTACACTACAAATTGTTCCAAGCGTACTGCAAAGTTCACTCTTATCAGAAAGAAAGAAAACTGCTCCCATACCCGACAGAGGCACCAAATGAAGACAGAAAGAACTTACCTAGGCTTTTTGGCTTTTTCTCCATGATCGACAGTAATTTTGTATTTCTTTTTCTTCTTCGATGGCACTGGCGATGCGTAAGTGTAAGTGCCCTCTATTTCCTCCATGACCACAGTTACTTCAGTGCCATCATATGGAGCCTCCATTGCTAAAAATACATATTTTATGTCATGCCTCCACCAAGTTACACAACATTTCTCCCAACAAAGACCCCTCCTAATCACCTTTGTACACTGACAGCATCATTGGCACATAAGTTTGGCTTTAATTAATCAAGATAACTACGTGTTAGCTATTGATCTATTCTTTTAAGGAAACACCTTTATCACTGTGACCTCAATACCATCAGTTCAGGGCAGACACCCTTCACCTGCACTTTCTGAAAGGAGGTTGTAGTGAGGTGTCCAGAGAAGAGCAACAAGGCTGGTGAGGGGTCTGGAAAACAAGTCTTATGAGGAGCGGCTGAGAGAGCTGGGGCTGTTTAGTCTGGAGGAGACTGAGGGAAGACCTTATCACTCTCTACAACTACCTGAAAGAAGGTTGTAGTGAGGCGGGTGTTGGTCTCTTCTCCCAAGTAACTAGCAACAAGACGAGAGGCAGTGGCCTCAAGTTGAGTCAGGGGAGGTTTAGATTGGATATTAGGAAAAATTTCTGTGCTGAAAGAGTGGTCAGGCATTGGAACAGGCTGCCCAGGGCAGTGGTGGAGTCCCCATCCCCAGAGGTGTTAAAAAACGTGTAGACGTAGCCCTCTGGGACACAGTTTAGCAGGCACGATGGGGATGGGGCTGACTGTTGGAACTGACGATCTGAGGTCTTTCCCAACCTTGACGATTCTCTGATTCAGAGCTGCAGCTCCCCAGGAACCTCCCGACCGCTCCGGCGATGCAGAGCGGGCCCCGCACCCAGCAAGCGGGCGTCCGGCTCCGCGGCAGCACAGCCACGAAGAACCACGGCAGCCTCACCAACCTCTCCCCCAGCAGACCTCCGG